ATAAACTAGTTTGTTTATGGTTTCTGGAGCAAAACTGCTGTTGCTTGTTGGAGAAACACCTTAGACTCTGTCGCGGTAATTTAGCTCTCGTATCTTTTTGTTATGCGTGTCTACCTTCTTTAATTATTTAATGATGACTGTGTGCACTTGCGAAATGGAAACTCGTATCAGAACCTAAATGCGATAAGCCGAACTAAAAGAAAGGGGAAACGCAGGGCGTGTCTGTCATGCGTGTTCACTGTTCAGGAAACGAAAATGATTTTGAGTATCTTGTTGGGCAAGTACAGCATGAATTAAAAGGTCCCTATACTTGAATAAAATTGAACGTCGCAAAGCAAAGAAATAATTGCAGTGTGAGACAAGGGAGGTGGGTGAGTGGTCGATCGATGACATTTAGTGGCACACCTTGTTAAGCCTTTTTTAATTGTGCTTCGAATGTGCCTTTCGTGAGCACGTGAAACAGTGATAAAGAAAAAAGCATGTGCAGTTGTGTTGTGTATGACTGAAAAGATTTAAATAAAAATCCACCAGTTTTTGCAAATAATGCCCACTCTGCACCTATTTCGCAGTCATTCCTGCAGCCTTCAACAGTTTTAAAGGACGAATGCACATGGGGAAGAAAGCAGAAAATAGGAATGACACGAATCACAAGAGCAGTACTATGCTTCTGATGGCATAAGAAGATGATACCCATATGCTTTTGATAGCATTTCGTTCGACTGTTCTTATGTTAAAGTTTGACGAACAACTTATTTCTCCCGTCATTATGTTGTCTGGGCGCAAATAATGTCATTTGAATGAAATATGAACTTTGCCAACTGTGCTTAAAAAAAAATAAAACCTTAACTGAAGCATACTAATGTGTATGATGAATTTCCCCTCTCATTCTGAAAATATCATTGCGTTTTATTTTCTCTGTGACGCACTGAGAAGAAGAACATAAACTTTATTTGTCGAATCCAGAGAATTCGAGTCCGGCGTTTTTTTAGTGGGTCTGGGCACCCACCGCGGATGCGGTTCAGAGACCTTGTCTCGAAGCGGCTTCCTCAGCATGCTGGACGGCCCAGAGTTGTGCTGTCAGGTTAGAGCTGAGCAGTGCGGCCTTCCAACGCGAGTGGAGGCTGGCGGTGGATGAGCGAGACGAATCGGCACTGTTCGAATTGTTACTAGGCCCTGACACTCCCACAGCATGTGACTAAGGGTGGCAACCTCGCCACATGACTTGCATCTGTTTGTAGTGTATGTCTGGATACATGGTGTGCACGAGTCTGGGGTTTCTGTATGAATCTGTTTGTAATTGTCTGAAGTGTACCGCTTGCATTCTTCTGTTTAGCCTTTCGTGAGGGGATGAGTATATGCGTCTTTGTAACTGGTAATGTGTGGTGACGTCGTGAAACCTGGTCATACGATCCTCTCATGCCCAGATGTCTGCAGTTTCCCGTGGGGGCTCGTCCTTAGGCGATGCTCGGTGAGTGAGGCCTCGAGCAACGCGGTGAGCCGCTTTGTTGGGGGTGCTCAGTCCGCTATGTGCTGGGATCCATAACAGGTGCTTTCAGTTATCGAAATCGACCTCGCCTGGATGTGTGGGATGTCGTTGGAGTATGTGAAACGCCTCTTGCGAGATGCGTTCATTGGCAAAATTGCGAATTGCTGTTTGCGAATCACTAATCATGTGTGTGGCATTGGTCTGTGTGAGGGCCAGTGCTGTAGCCGCTTCCTCTGCCGCTTCAGCGTGTGCCGTGTTCACAGTGAGGCTTGTTGATGTATTTCCCGCGATGGCCGAGACTTTGCGCAGTAAATGTGGTACGATGTTTTCATTCTCAGAAATGTTTACGTACGGGCAGGAAAACTGAGCTTACAAATAATTCATACGTTTGTAAGAACAAGTTGACAGGATTTATACTATGATGGCAGCTTTTAAAATTTAATATTCTGCCCTTTTGGACTTTATTCAACCGCATCCTGTTCAATGAGTGGCTGGTTCTGCCACTGTGATCGCATCAGTGCCACGAAGAGAAATAACGTTGGGTATAACGTTTGGTCGGTTAAAGACTGCAGTGTCCGCCCACTCAAATACAAACAAAATGAGAAGTTCATCCGGGAGTACAGGAAAAAAAAAAAGGGATGGTGCGCCGCCAATTGCTGTCCGTGCAGCCTACACGAATGCCCCACGAACGCGCTACGATATACTGCAGCGCCCCCTGCGCATTCATCAGCGGCACGGACGCGGCCTTGCATGAGGACGGCACGGAGACGGTAGAGTAGCCAGTATATTCTAGGGACCATAACACACTTGCCACTTCGGCTTGGCTTGGATTAGATGGAAACTCGTGTGTTCATAGTGCATCATCATCATCAGCCTGACTATGTCCACTACAGGAAAAAGGCCTCTCCCATGTTCCGCCAGTTAACCCGGTCTTGTGCTTGCTGCTGCCAATTTATACCCGCCAACTTCTTAATCTCATTTGCCCACCTAACCTTCTGTCTCCCCCTAACCCGCTTGCCTTCTCTGGGAATCCGGTTAGTTACCCTTAATGACCAGCGGTTATCCTGTCTATGCGCTACATGCCCGGCCCATGTCCGTTTCCTCTTCTTGATTTCAACTATGATATCCTTAACACCCGTTTGTTCCCTAATCCACTCTGCTCTCTTGTCTCTTAAGGTTACACCTACCATTTTTCTTTCCATTTCTCGCTGCGTCGATCTCAATTTAAGCTGAATCCTCCTCTTTGTAAGTCTCCAGGTTTCTGCTCCGTAGCTAAGTACCGGCAAGATACAACTGTTATATACCTTCCTCTTGAGGGATAGTGGCAATCTACCTGTCATAATTTGAGAGTGCTTGCCAAATGTGCTCCACCCCATTCTTATTCTTCTAGTTACTTCGATCTCGTGGTTCGGCTCCGCGGTTATTACCTGCCCTAAGTAGGCATAGTCTTTTACAATTTGAAGTGCACTATTACCTATCTCGAAGCGCTGCTCTTTTCAGAGGTTGTTGTACATTACTTTCGTTTTCTGCAGATTAATTTTAAGACCCACCTTTCTGCTCTCCCTGTCTAACTCCGAAATCATGAGTTGCAATTCATCCCCTGAGTTACTCAGCAATACAATGTCATCGGTGAAGCGCAGGTTACTAAGGTACTCTCCATTAACTCTTATCCTTAACTGTTCCCATTCAAGGCTTCTGAAAACCTCCTGTAAGCACGTGGTAAATAGCATTGGTGAGATTTTGTCTCCCTGCCTTACACCCTTCTTGATTGGTATTCTGTTGCTTTCTTTATGAAGCACTATGGTAGCAGTTGATCCCCTGTAAATTTCTTCCAGGATGTTAATATATACTTCATTGACGCCCTGATTCCGCAGTGTCTGCATGACGGCTGATATTTCTACTGAATCTAACGCCTTCTTGTAATCTATGAAGGCTATGTATAGTGGTTGGTTATATTCTGAGCATTTCTCTATTACCTGATTGATAGTATGAATGTGGTCGATTGTTGAGTAGCCTAATCGAAATCTTGCTTGTTCCTTTGGTTGATTGAATTCTAATGTTTTCTTTACTCTGTTAGCAGTTACCTTTGTAAATAGTTGTATACTACAGAGAGCAAGCTGATCGGCCTGTAATTTTTCAAGTCATTGTCACCTTCTTTCTTATGTATTAAGATGATGTTAGCGTTCTTCGAAGACTCTGGTTCCTTTGCCGTTCATAGTGCACATGATGCTTAAGATATGGCGCCAGGCTGTCGAGCAGCTATCATTATCAGGTGTTGAAAAGAGCAGACATTTTTGCTGCAATTTTCAGGGGTCCGATAGTTACTTCAGAGGAAAAAAAAAATCATATATTTGCTGATATGGGGGGGTGTCAGCATTTCACAAGTAAATATGGTGGTATTATTCTTGTGGAAAAGTGTCGCAAGTCCAACTGAAGATACAGTAGACTCGCGATTATTCAGTCTGATAATTCACACTTTTAGTTAATTCAAACAAAATTCCTTTTCTTTGGTTCGCCCTTTATTCTTTCAATGTACTTTTAAGCCTCTTAATTCAAACTCTATCATTCGCCTTAATTAATACTTTATGCAGTTCAATACCGAAAAATATCTGCTGGTTTGCCACCTATTGTTTAAAAATGTGTGTGGTTTTATTATTCTAACAGTCTAAAAATGAAAAGTAAGGGCCTCAGGCCTTCAGGAAAAAGGCTTTGCTAGTAAACAAACTTTTTGAACAAAGCACATGCATATTTAACAGCGATGCTTCGCAACAGGTATAGAGAGCTTTGTGCTGACTGCACATAGAGCAAAGAAGCAGTTGGCAATTCAAGATTTCTTTAGAACTTTTGATCAACAGTAGATGGCCAATAAACTTGTGGACCTTACACCTCTGCTTTCTATTCATATCATGCAGTTAGGGTTTAAAAATGTTTTAAAAATTTTTAAATGGGATAAAATCAATGCCTAATCATGATGTGTGATATCACTTTGCCCATTCGTATATCTGGGAACTTCTGATAATTCAAACTTCTGGATAATTCAAACAAAGTTCAGAGGTTCCTTCAAGTTTGAATTAACGAGAGTTGACTGTACATGGTGGTAACTTCCACAGTAGCACTGCAGGTTCTCCAGGTGCAACATTTTTGGCTGCATTAAAGTGAGGAGCCATTTCAACTCTGTGGAGATGTATGACTAGCGAAGCTGTTTAGCATGTGACAGAGCAAACACTGAATTTTTGACAAATGTATGAATTCATTTATTGTCTCAATTAGCATTGGTTACACCAGCATGGTGTTTTTTTTTTCTGGCAATTGTCAGCTTCTTGAGCAGCCTCTTGAGATCTATACCGGATCATATCTAATACTGATACTACCTTCATAAACCTGTGGACATGAAGAAGTGTACTGACTCATGTACTGTAGTAACAATGTAATATCTCCCCTTGGAAATGTTTCCAACCAACATGGGCCTTCGAAGTAATGAAAAATCAACTGTGGTGTGTATGATCTTTTCCAGGCATTACGTGTGTCCATGGAAGAACAGCGCCAGCGCCAGGAGGACGATGCCAGGCGGGCAGCTGCCAACTCTGCCAAGGAAGGAACTCAGGCTCCTTCTACAGCTGAGGCAGAATGTACGGCTGCAGTCTTCCTTGCATACTTTTTAGTGCGATAGCGTTAAAAGCTCGTGTTGCAGAAAACCCGCCGCCGGCCCTGTTGGTTGTGAGCGAAAAATCGTCTGTGACCGAAAAATCAAGTTACCGAGATAGCCGTGGAAGGCCACTACTTGTCCACACTTGCACGCACCATCACACTGGAAAAGCCGCGCATTCGAAGAAAAAAAAAGTGCTCAAGGTCACGAGGCGCGGTAGTTTCTTTGCCCTGCCACCCCACCCTGCTTAGCTTCCAGTGCTTTCGTCGGTCGGGACGAGAGAAGAAATAATGCAATTGCAGCATGTGACAAACCTTTGTAACTCCACTCGCACTGGACGGATTTTTAAAATTTTCGCGGTGTTGTATTCGTGAGACAATAAGCTCTTCTAGTGAATTCATTTCATGGTTACTTGAAAAAGTGTTTCAGGGCCCCTTTAACGCATTTTGTTCAAGTGTCACGAGGAAAATGAGCCCGTTCGGCAATAATAGCGCGCGCTAGTCCAATCTACTGTGTGCGTGCATGTGTATGTAACAAAACATATGAATAAGTTTACACTTAGCGTTTGAAAGGTGCACTAGGGGCCGGATTTCGCTATCGCGTTCAACGTTTAAGGGGGGACGTGGCAAGTAAAACTAATTTTTTTATTAATGTACTGTTTGTGATGAAATTTGGTGTGTGTATGTGGATGATTGTGAGGATTCCAAATATGAAAACCGTTTTCAAATACCTCTTGTACTTTTTGAGTTACAAGCATAATTATACTAATTAATGCTCTTCACACTTAAAGAGATAATTATTGCTAAATGAAATTATTTTTTCATATTATTATGTTCCCAAAGCATCAACTTGTGCAAAGAAGCTATTAGTTGATTTTTCTAGTTCTTGTAACCATAAATAAAATTTCCAAAACATGGATGTTGTTTTGCGCACACATCGCAGTAATTATAAAATGTGTTCTAAAAATTTTAAATGGTGAGTAAGAAGAGAGATAAAGCTTTATTGCACTGCTAAAGGCCTCCTGAGCCTAGTGCAAAAAACGGAATGACTCTATCAGTCTTTGTTAGAAAATGACAGATGTTCTAGCGAAGGCACATAGGCGAAAATCAAGAGTTGAGAAAACTGACTTTGAAAGTTCACTCTTGTTTGGAAGTTCACAACATGCCTAAAACACTCAGAATCCTCCTGGGCAGTAGTCCTGAGATGCTGTGGCCTTGGCCTCTGTAGAGCGCAACCCAGTTTTGCGCTTCTTTGTCGTGGAACAATGCGCCTTTTGAGCCCTCTTTACCCTTTTGGCATCCTTTTCGGCTGCTCGCCGCAAAGAGCAGTCTCCTGGATTGAAGCCCAGTTGAGCAGTGATCTCTTGCAGCGCACTCTTGCAGCCACCATTGAAACGGCAGACTGCATCTGCAACTGCACTTTCCACACTTCGAAGGGAGGCGAACTGGCTCTTGGACTGGAGTGACCAAATGAGGCTGTTCATACTCTCCACAGCGTTCTGGGTTTTTCCCTGCACACACCTTTCAAGGAGCTCTTTGTTCGAGAGGCGCTTGTAGATTGGCAGCAGTGCCACTCGCACATGAGGGGGCAGTTTATGTTTGTGAGGCGGCAGCGGCTCTCCCTTGGCCAATGCCTGATTGTGCGGGCACCAGGAGTCAGTCCCACTTGGGCACAGGTTGTGGTGTGGATCCTGGTCTGTGGATGTTACATGGTAATAAGTGGCCATGATGGCCCTCTCCATGCCAGGAACATCGTTGGGGTGGCTCTTAATGGCCCAGCCATAATAATTCGTCAACTTCTTTATCAGGCCCTGCGTCAGCCGGCCTTTGCCACCCATGCTCAGTCCTTGGCCTTTGGATTTGTGCTCATCAAGAAGGTTGCGCAAGGAAGTGCCCATTCTTTTTTTCACATGGTTCACACACTCCTGTTTCTTAATCACCATGTAGCCATACACCTTGTCTTGCGTGAGGGCAAGGTACGTACGGCTGTCACCGTCGCAGAGCACATTGATGTATCGAAGCTTGTACTTGGTAAACGATCTTTCAAACATGATCCTAGCTGCTTCTACTTCCATTTGGCCTGCATTAGCATCGGTGTTCTTTTGGCACTGTGGCTTGTGTTTCTCAAGCCACTCCTCATAGTTGTCGTCACCAGGCTTGGGGCCAACAGCACAGCCTTGGCAGTAGTTGGACAGGACACAGTGGTCCAAGACCAAGCCTGTGTACAGCTCGATTACACAGCCCACGCCAATATGACTTCTGTGCCCCCTCGTCATCCACGTGCCGTCGTAAATGACGTCAATGTTGCCTGGCACTCCTCCTAGGTCCTTGTAAATGTCATGCACCTTCTGTGCACTTTCTGCTTCAATGCGGGTGGCAGCTGATGTGGTGGCAGGGTGGCTGTACTTCCTTTGCAGTCTCTGGTAGGACTTGTGGTGCAGTGCTCGATGCGAAATGTCCATCGCAGAAAAAATGTCATTTATGGCAGATTGTTTTCTGCCAACTGACTGCACAGCCCTCAAAGCACGCACGTTTACCTCAAAGGGGTTCGTTTTTTGTAGCCCGGAGCACCTCGGGGACGACCACGCACTGTTCACTCTGCCACAATTGTCACAAAAAAGTTCCATCCTCGCCGCGAGTCCAAGGCAGTGCGTAGTCTCGAGGCGTATCGACCCTTCGTCGCACTTGTTGCACTTTACTGACGAAAGCAGACCGTTCAGCATCTTCTTATTTACAATGAAGAATGTGGAGTCCTTACCGCCGTCATTTTCGTCGCAGCCTTCGTTCAGAAGCTCGAGCTTCCGCTTTGAAGCGGACTTCGATGCTACGGCATCCAAAACATCCCGCCTTGTCTGCGCCCGCTGCGCGATTTCTTCACTGCTCGGAATCTGGGCCGAAACTCGCGATAGAATGTTCGACGCGCGCACGCCCGGAGTTGCAACGGCTGCCGACGCGGTGCCACCGCAATCGGGTTCGCGAGAGCGTCCATCACGGTCGACGGCATCCGGCGGTCTGACATACGACGATGTGGCACCTTCCACACTCTCGGCCTCACAACAATCAGCGAAGGGTCTGAGTAGAGGCTCCGTGACGCTTGAAGAGCATGCTCCGTCCGGAACTGCGACTGGGACGGCAGCCGCAGTCGTCTGCCCTTTGTTCCAAGCTTTCCGACGCTTGCCGTACTTGTGGACGCTCCGGAACTTTTTTTGCGGCAACATAGCACCGCAGTATGAGCAAGCACTCAGAAGAGACCACCAATGTAAACAAAGCTTGGTAAAAAAAGCACGCGAACTATCACAAAAACAGCAAACTGGCAAAAAACGAAGCGCACGCCGGATGATTCTCGACACGGCGGCCGCAGATGCACTCGCGCTTCCAAGGTTGCCAAGGTGCGCAGCGCAGCTTTGACCAGTAAGAGGTCGCGCCTGCTACCACGTGACCCGCGCAGCCAATTGCCGTTCTTCGTTTTCGTTTTTTTACTTGCTCCTCGCGCTTTTATTTTCACTCGGCGAAATACGAGACCGCGACCATCGGGAAGCCGGCTTCCTCCTCTTTCCAAAGCTACCAAAATGGCGGCCCACGGTCAACAACTTGGCGCGTTTGTGCGGCGTGAACAACACCGTTTCAGGGGCTTTTTTTTCGCACTTTTCGGCGACTAGCCTCGGCAAAAACACTATTTGCGGGATTTGTAGCGCACGTTTCGCTGTAATATTTTAGAACAAGGAAGTTGAAGGTCTGAAGATTACGAAAAAAAATAAATCAGAAAATCGCATATTTTGACCAAAATTGGCACTTTACTTGCCGCGCCCCCCCTTAAAGGCGAAGCTTAAGGATCCCCCAATTTTCAAGCACACTTTTGAGAGATAATAGCTGCAATTTCACCAGTGTGTTGCATTCGTGCACTCTTTTATCTACAGCTTTGTTGAGAAGCTTGTGATTACACAGAACCCACAGAATTTGTTGGTGTTTTTACATTCACGTCATTGCTCTACTATGTTGTTCCTTATCTTTTCAACAGGTTATTTGTCGCTTCAGCTACATAAACATTCCTCAAGTATTGGCTTTAGGTTTACACTGTAACTACTGTATTTACTCGCATAATGAACGCATTTTTTTTTCTAGAAAAATTGGAGCAAAGTTGGTGGTGGGTTTATTATGCGGGGAAATTTTTGCGAAAACTTTTTTTGAAATGACCAAAAAAAGTGCGGTAATACAAAAAAAGTTGTGTCGCTTAGCCTTTCGCCTTTGACATACGCGTACAGTGTAGGGGAAGAGCTTCTTTGTTGCACTTGACTCATTTTCGGTGGTTGGTGGCACTACCGTATTTACTCGCATAATGAACGTACTCCCAACTTCAGTCATCAAAATTTGTTTTTTTCCCCCACATAATAAACTCGCCCCCTACATTCATTCGCTGCAGAACCGCTAACCGACACCTGGCCTGGCGCCTCCTCACCCGTTAAATTTCTTTCGTTTATTATTTTGCCCCCCCCCCCTCGCTACTTCGGCTCGCTCGCTCCCTCCCCCCCTTTGCTCGTGTGCGATATCGTTTTCCTATCGGTGCGCGGCACGTCTCCTGTCTTATCTGTGCCGGGGTTCATGAACGGTATGAGTGTTGAGACATCGCACCTGATAAGCACACAGCAAGCGAAGATCATGAAACTGCCCGCGCCAATTCACTCTCGCTTCCTGCGAATACAAAAAAGTCCAACCTCATGCACGTGAATAATGAGCGACGACGGCAGGATTTGTTGTCGTGAAGGGTCAGTCGTCACCATCGCGTCGCAGGTTTCTGGAAAACCAGAGAAAATTGCTTGTTGTCCAAAAAAGATCGTGATGATTTCTGCAACACTATAGCACCTCCGATTCCCGCTTCGCTTGTTATCCACACTTATGCAGAAGCAAGGCAGCGGCCATATTTTATCGTTAATCTTGTTATCGACGGTTTGTTTTAAAGCTTTTGGGGGTAGCTTCCTGCAATGTTTGTTACTTGCTACAATGTTGACAGCGTCGTCACGACCAACGTGTGAGGCTGCTGTGAAGTTGGCCAAGTGCGTCGTCATGCCACGTAGCGAATGCTTTCGGGCACCTCCCGAGAACTGCAGATACCACTGTTGCGGTTTAAACGATTGCGAGAAAAGATAGCCGCAAAGCGCTTTTATGGCGTGTGCGGGCGGCCTGGGGATAGCTTGCAGAAGATAGCGTCATCAACCATCGACGATAAGTTAAGTGAAACGAAGAAGCCGTTTCCAAACACTGTACGCGTAAGTCGATTGCAATAAGCTATGCGACATAACTTGTTTTTTCATTACCACATTTTTTGCTCATCCCAAAAAAGTTCTCGTAAAATTTACCCCGCATAATAAACGCACCCCCAAATTTCCTCCGATTTTTGGGGGGAATAACTGTGTTTATTACACGAGTAAATACGGTATCTTCTGCAAGCTGTCCCCGCGCATGTCATAAAAGCATTTCGCGGTGATCTTTCCTCTCAATGATTTAACCGAAACAGTGGTATCGGCTGTGATCTCGAGGGGCGCCCAGAAGCGTGCACTCAACGCACTTTGCCAACTTTGCGGCAACCTTGCACGACGATGCCATTGGCATTGTAGCAAGTAACCAACATTGCAGCCAGGTACCACAGAAACATCCTAATGAACCATCGATAACAAGATTACCGTCAGAGCACGGCCGCTGCCTCGCTGTTCACATGAGAAGTTACTGTAGAAAAGGTAGCCTATGTCATGCGTTCCTTAAAGTGTGCGTGGATAACAAGCACGAAGAGCAAATTGCAACCGAAGCCAGAATCGGGGGTACTACCATGCTACAGAATTCATCATTATCCCTTCTGGATGACAAGCGACTTGCTTCTGGTTTTTCAGAAGCCTGCGATGAATGGCCCTTTGCAACAGCCATGGTGACAGCAAATCCTGTCGTCGTCGCTCGAAAATTGCATGCATGTGGTTGGGCCTTCAAGTTTCCTATTTGCTGGGAGTGACCGTCAGTTGGGGTGGGCAGTTTCGTGACCTTTGCTCGCTGTGTGGTTATCAGCTGCGATGCCTCTACACTTGCATCATTCATGAACCCCGCTATGGCGCATGGATAATTAAAAAAGACTGGGGATGTACCGCACACAGATAGAAAGAAAAACAATACAGCGCGCAGCAGTGGGCGAAGGTGGGGAGGGAGCGAGCCGAGGTGGCCAAAGGGGGTTGGCATTATAATAAAACACGAAAGAGATACAGCAAGTATGGAAGCAGCAAGCAAGAGATTGCAGCAAATGAATGTAGAGGGTGCATTTATTACGCAGGGAAACTAAAAAAAAAAACAAACTTTGCCGAACGAAGTTGGGGGTGCGTTTATTATGCAAGTGCATTCATTACGTGAGTAAATATGGTATTCCATGTTCACAGCTGGCTCGAGTGAGGAACGGCTGCTGGAAAGAGCCCTAGCTATGTCTATGGAAACAGATCCAGCTCCTCCGACTACAACTGCCAGCTTGCCAGATTTCTCAGCAATGACAGAGGATGAGCAAATTGCATATGCCATGCAGATGTCTCTCCAGCAGACACGTGAGTAATTATTCATTGTTTTGTGCTGATGAGGATAGTTCTATGCATCCTTGTTGGATGCCTTTTGCTGAAACAAGGGCGGGAAAACATTATTTGTGGTAATTTTCGTAGATTTTATCCTCATTAAAGGGACCCTCCACTGTCCATCACTTTTCGATTTTATATTTCAATAAAAACCATACTGTCTGAAGTGTCCAACCTTGCAGTGCTTTCTTTGGAAAGTGAGCAGAAATTTCTAAAACAGAATTTTTATGAATGTGCATAACACTGGTTGGTGGGAACAATGGCGATAGTAGTGCCGTGGAAAGTCGAAAACTGAAACCACGTGCTGTTCTTGCGGGCATTATCAAGTTTTGTTTTTTTAATAATAAAACAAATGCCAGTCGCCACTTAAAGGAACAGAGTAAGCCCTATACCTGCCATGTATTATAGGCGAAGTTTTAGTGCCTTTTTCTCCATAGCCATGAAAGCTACAGTAAGTATTTTACTATCATTGTGATCATGAGTCATTCCTCTTTTTACTGAAGCAGATTTAGCACTGAAAATGCTCATTATCACTCGATAAAGCTATTAGATGTTGTGTGCCAGAAGAGCACTTTCTCGCAAAACAATTCTACTTACAGCAGATTTCCTATTTTGTTGTCTGGCCAAAATACTGGCCAAAATCTATGATCGTAGATAATTTGGTTGCTGAGGAAAAGGAACCAAGTAAGAAAAAAGCACGTTTTGAGATAATCACACTTAAGGGGAGATGCGAGTCAAAAAATCGCGTTTTTAGCGAAATTTCTCGTATTTCTGATTTTTATTGCATTGTAATCTTCAAACCTTCTTCTTTCATCTGTGAAAATTTCAAAACTAAATTCGAACCGCAAAATGCAAAAAAATGTGTATGAAGGCATCGCGATGGCTCAAAATTTCGTGAATTTGCGCCGATATTGGCCATCTTTGACTGCGCGCTGTTCCCCGTCGCAGTGCCGCCCGCCATCACGATCGGTTGGGAAAGTTGCGTCCGGCCTTCTTCTTACAGCTCCGACGACCGCCAGTTTCGTACGTGGGCAAAAAAAGAAAAAAAAAACAAGGCCTTTTTATTATGTGGTTTGAGCAGTTTGAAACGCGCGGCACCCTAAGCCGCATCGCCATTGGCTACCGAGTCATTGTCAGCTGTGTTGGTGGCGGCCATCGGCATTTGGTCCGTCTGCTTTTCTGCGCGTCTACGCATATTTCCGTGATGACAAGCCCGAAAAAGTGCAACGTGAGACCGCAGAAGTTTCGAACGAAGCACAAGTTCAAGGGAAGGCGGCGTAAAGCGCCCTGAACGACGGCGACGAACGAGAACGCGCCTACGTGTGCTAGGCCTGACGGCGACATCGACGAGTGCGCGAGCGACAGTGGCTGCGATGAAGGGATTGACGCTGCGCTTTCTTTCGTCAGTGCTTCGAAAAAGAAGCTCGGCTTCTTCGAAAAAGACGAAATACAGCGCGATGAGGTTTGTGCAACGGCAGTTTTGTGCGACACCCTCTTGCTGACGACACTTGTGGCAGGTGCGGCATGCCCTGCTTGCGGTATTAAAAAACTTGCCGTTCGGGAGCCAGCAGAAAAGCGCAAGGGACTTTCGTTGCTCCTCGAACTTCATTGCGATAACAGCGAATGCTCAGCGACTGTTCTTTCGTGCTCTTATACGTCACTGCGTGTTACGGCGGACGGCAGCAGCCGAGTGAGCCAACGGTACGGCAGTGGGAGCTCCTGAGATAGCTTCGCTGTAAATGTGAAGGCGGTGGTGGCTGCACGCGCTGGCGGCATTGGGCATGAGCAATTGTCGAGATTTTGCTCCATTATTGGACTCCCAAAGCCAATGCACCACCGAGGATTTTTTTCGATAGCAAAGAAGGTGCACACCGCTGCCATGGCAGCTGTGAGTAAAAGCTTGCGCCGATCCAGAGAGTTGACGAAAGAAGTAGCAGGGGAAACTGATGTGGCTGTTATGTTCGACGGCACTTGGCAGAAGAGGGGCCACAAAAGCCACAACGGGATTGGCGCAGTTATCTCCTTAGATACTGGCCGCTGCTTAGACTTCGAGGTCATATCAAATTACTGCCTGACATGCAGTAGGCACAAGGATATGGGCCCAGACGAGGAAGTGTGGCAGGCGTCCCATGGCCCAGTCTGTGAAAAAAATGCAGACTGTTCCTCCCATGCCATGGAAACGGAGGCTGCAATGCGCATTTGGCAGAGAACATCGACTTATGACACCCCACTGCATTTCATGACATTCTTGAGTGACGGTGACAGCAAAGCATATAGTGCAGTTGCAGAGTCAAAAGTCTATGGTGCTGTCAATATAGAAAAAGAAGACTGCACTAATCATGTGGCCAAGAGACTTGGCACCGCACTACGGAAGCTGCATGTGCCATTACCACGAGGGCAGAAAATGAAAGAGCCAGCCATTCAGAAGCTCCAAACATACTATCAGATTGCCATAACAAGCAACAGGGGGAGTGTACGGGATATGTACACTGCAGTATGGGCTTCGTACTTCCACTCATGCTCTACTGACAATGCTGGCAGCCACAAGTTTTGCCCTGCAGGAACAGAGTCGTGGTGCAAACATCAACGCGCTGAAGCACTTGGTGAACCTGCACCACGCCACACACCTCTCCTGACAAAAGCACAGGGATTGGCTGTTTTGCCCATTTATAAGCGGCTAACGGATGGGAAGCTCCTTGCTCGATGCATCAAAGGGAAAACCCAGTACGCATCGGAATCCGTGAATAGCAAAATTTGGCTACTTTGCCCCAAGACTAAGTTTGTCTCCCGAACGGTTGTCGAGACTGCCGCAGCTATGGCAATCCTGTGGTTCAACAAGGGTCATGCTACTTTCGAGCACATCCTGGAAGAGCTAAACATACTGCCATCTAGAGATCTAGTTACTTTCAGTGATTCCCGCGATGCGAGGCGCATCAAGAGAATGTCCGAGCGTCTGACAGTAGAAGCAAGGGCCCACCGTCGTCGTGGAGTGAAAAGGGCACGGCTAGAAGAGAGTGCTCGTAAGGACCAGTGAGGGCACAACCTATGCTGCAGGACAGTTCTAGTAACTTGCAGTGCTTTTCAAAGTTCTGTTGAACATTATGGTCAAAGATTATGCATTTCTAACAACTCTGTGATAAAAAAAAAGGGGTTTCAGACTTTCTAATGCGTTTTTCTCCTTTTGCAGTTTTGTTTGATCTGTGCTTCTTAGTACACGCTAGTTCGTATACTTAGAATTGTCATACCTCTGTGAAATTTTACACATAGCATGATGAAGGCCCATAGAGTGCAAGTATCTATTCAGATTGTCAGTGCTGCTTGATTACTGTTTTTCAAAAATTACATAACATTGAAAGCCCTCGGCAACTAGAGCCATAGTAAATTTTCCTATTTTATTATTGTATTTCACCTTTTTACACACAAAATTTATATAGTTTTTTGCACTCTACAGTTCCAAAGGATCATAGTCAGCTATATCTGCATGCTTTATCTCAAATTTTTATAGGTCAGAATTGTTGCATAACAATGGCCATAATTTTGCAGTATCTGACCTGCAGAAAGAAAACCAAGCAATCTACATGAAAATAAATGACATATTTGAAAAGAGGAGAAACAACTCTATTAGCATGCCAATTTGTGTTAAATTCAGACTCTTATTAAAGAAAATAGTTTTTCGAGTAGCATCTCCCCTTAAGTTGAAAAACAACATTATTTAAAAAGTATGAAATAACAGCAATATGATGGACCCGTTCAATAGGCACGAGTCAGATATTTATCACCAACATCATTTTTTCTTTTTGTCTTGAAACTTTTTGCCTGGCAAGCATCATTTGTCGTCTGCTGTGCAGCCCTTGTCAGCACAGTACTGTCGACGTAGTTCAAGTTTGCATAGGCCTTGCACTGTGCAGTGGCCTGGCGAAATTTCAAAATAGTTCAGCACATTCACACGGGCTATATTGCTATCATTAAAAGTGAACAAAGCATCAAGAGTGCATATTTGTTGTGTTTAGTGCCCAAGAAAAACATTCTTTTGGAGCGTGCTCCCACACAACAATTCGACTCATTATGGTTTTGAGTTTTCCCACGGAGGCATTTAGCAAGCAATTCTGCATGAGCTAGTTCCAGACAATTTGGTTTAACCGCCTCAATAACAGATGCTGTAAGTTGTTTTTTATGAACGAATGGTTCACAATTTGACTGGGCTTCTTTGAACTTACACCAAGTATCGGTGTCCTTCGAGCAGACCATGAGATTGATTGTTATCCTTTGATGTCATGTGAAAATATGTGGACCGGACAGCTTTTCGCATGTGCTCCAAGCTGGTTTTATTTATTTTAATGGCCCAACTGTAATAGCTTTAGTGCTTGGCAATGATGACACCATTAAGACGTCCCTGACCAGATATAGATTTCCTGAGACAAAGCTTGATGCCTCCGCAGTTCTGGGCCCATTCTTCTCTAAATGGTCCAAATGCATTCCATCTTGCAAACTGTAACTTCTCAATGTGGCTATGATACTTGAACTGCAAGAAATCCTTTGCTACGTAAGAATAGGGACATGGCAAGCCACTGGAAAATTAGGAAAATAAATGCACAAATTAAACAGACGGAGATTGAAGGCAGTGCTAACCTAAGACGCTTATTTAGCTGTAAAAACTGCGTTATTATTGCGATAACAGTTATATGGACACTCTCAGCTGGTTTTTGCCGTCGCCGCCATGTTCCATAACAAGTCGAAATTGATAACATGCCTCACGCGTCGTAACTTTCACGAGTGAGTAAAAGCGCGCGAGTGCAACTGAAGCGAAGATCAAATGAGTCGGCCCGATCTTTATCGCATGAAAGGTGTATAAGATAACATCCCCCGCGTCTTTGAACTGCTGTCGAATGCTCAAACAGAAAGAAAACTACCCATCTTGAACGAGCATGAAAATCTCGGCAAGCATTAGGGCGGTTTCAACGCCAAAGGACGGTGAA